AGCAAGTAAAATTATTAGATCATCCGGTTACTTCAACTCTTTTATCACAAAAAGGGTTACTCATGGCAAATTCCTTATACCTCTAGCTCCACTAGCTCAACAGGTTCGAACAATAATTAATTTACAAAATTAAATGCTAATTATCAATTCACAACTGTGGTATACACACTTTTAGGCTATAAATTTGCTATCCATATTTTCCAAAATTTATTGTTAGCCTAACCAACACTCTAATCACATTTCATTAGCCATATTTAACAACTACAAACCTAGACAATACTAAATCACAATCTAGATTACTCTCAAACTTCCAAATTAAGCTTAGGTTCATCTAAACCCTAGCTGAAGCTTCCAAATCATCATATAATCATAAAACTTAAGTATAGAACCTTAAATTAACTCATTATAGCCCCAAAGAATATAATGGGTTTGACCAAAACCTAAGGAAAGACGTGCATCATCCAATCATACCCAAATCTTCTAAAATTTCAAGTAGAGAGGAGGAGTAAGAGTTAGGAAGCTTACCTAAGTGGTTTTCTAGCTTAGAAAACATCAAAAGTGATTCAAAGTCAAAGCCCTAGTAGCCAATTTCTTCTTCTCCATCGCCTCTTGTTTTTCTCTTCCTTTTTTTGTCTATCATGACCTATCATGACAAACTTAAAGAATCAGTCTACTCACCAAGGCAAGAAGGGACATTCACCAGGATGAGTGGCCTAGTTTGGCCACACGTGATTTAGGCCTTCTCCTTAGGACCTAGATGACCCAAAAACCATCCTAGCCCAGCTTGAAGCGACTTGAATAATTCAATAGGTCCATTAGTAATTCGAAAACTTGATAAACTTAATTTATTGGTTGTTTTACTAATTTATTCCGTTAAGTACCTTATTTCAAAATTTGAAAATTCAGGGTGTCACGGTTAACTTTGACTATTAGTTTATATATTAAAATATAGAAAATGACTTGAAATTACATAAAGAAGATCTAAAAAAGTTAAACATAAATACCCTATAAAAAAGTTAATATCAATTAGGTCCTATAAATTGAAAATAAATACCTAGACACAAAAGTTACCTCTTAATATGTAAAAGACCGAAATACAATTTCAGCCAATCACTTTGACAAGCTACCATATAATTATCAGATCATCATTGTTGGCAATAATATTGGTAACAAAATAAAAATAATAATACATTTGTTTTAATAATATCTTATTAAAATATTAATACTTTAACATTTAATCATGTTTACTAGTTTTTTTTTTCAACAATGATGATTCGATAATCACCTGGTAGTGGGTCAAAATACTATTTTGGTATTTTACATTAATAATAAATAATATTAGTGTCCTAAAATTTATTTGAAATTTAAGGGCCTTAATCAATTTTAATTTTCTTATATAGTTCTTTAATGCAATATTTTAGATTCTTTTTTATAATTTTTTAGATCAACTAATGATTAAATTTAACATTTGTCAATGGTAAGCATAAAATTGTACTATTTTTAAATGTTAAAGGGAGACATTGTATCATAAAAAAAAATTAGGATATATGCCCTTGCATGAAAAGTTGAAGAATAAAAATACCCTTTGACTCATTCCAAGATTCGATTCTTAAATAAGTGTATAAAAAAATATTATTTAAAAGAAGACAACCTTTCAAATGGTGTTCAGATTTTTTGAAGGATTAGTCTCATGGTTTTTCGGTTATGGGAATACTTTGAGTAACCAAAAAACAAAAGAAAAAAAACCTTTGACCCTAGTATCAAACTCGGAAGTTGAAGCCTTTTTTGTAAATAGATTTAATTTGTTGGATGAAGGACCATGAAATTTAATATATTTCATCTATTAATTCCACCTATTAAATTTCTTTTTCTTGAGAAACTAAATTTTCTTCTTCATTCACATTATTTTTCCTCAATTTTGTTCACAGCCAGACAAGCTACATCCAGTTCTAGGTGGGTCGAGTAGAGGATGTGGATTACAATTAATAGCACGTGCTCCTCACATGGCATCTTCATGATAAATTAGAAGTATTAAAAATAACTTATAAAATCTTACTCTTTCTGTTAAAAAATATAAAGTATTTTTAATCTAATATTATCTCTGATAAAGTAGTTAAATGTATTTAAACTAATATTATTTTTTTAAATTCACCCCTACATAAAAGAACGTTTCATTTTAAAATAAATATATAGTGATTTATTCATTATGGGAAAAAAGCATAACAATTACATCATACAATATTAAAAATGCTTTGTATTTTTTAACAAAGGGTACCATATTACCTCCAAGAACATTGATTGACTTGTTAAATTTTAAAGTAGACATGCTGAAACTATTAGAAGCCTTAATTAGTTCAATGGGGTGCTTTGTTACTTTCTTGCCCCCTCCATTTTATATATAAGACACTTTTAATTAGAATTTTACATATCAATTAAAAATTTATTATTTAATTGAAATTATATTAAATCATAATAATTTTTTAATTCTACCCCTAATAATGTCAATTAATATTATGATGGTGGTGGATGCACATAATTAATATCTTTTTCCTTTTTCAAAAACAAGGACAAAATTGTTTAATTATTTAAAAATATCATGACACCCCTCATGATTAGGAACAAAATAAATTCTAAAAAATACCCTATATTTAAAAACAGAGGGAATAATTGAAGTTCAATTCTGTAATATACTTATAACCCGTTTGGTTCACAGAATGAGTGGGAATGGAATGTAATGTAATGAATGGGAATGAAATGGAATAGAATGTAATGCTAATTACATGATGTTTGTTTGGTATGGCTTTAAGAAAATATATTTTTTTACATTTAATAAAGTACAATCTGATGTTAAAAGATCATAATATCCTTAAGAAAATAAGGAAATTTCAATACTCCCTATCATTCTTTTTCCTTCTCCCAGGTGCAAATTACACAATCATACCCCGATGCAAATTTCACAAACACACCCCGTCATCATCTTCCTCTTCCTTCCAGATTCAGACTTTGCAAAACATAAACAAGAAGCATCGAAGAGGAAGGTGATATGGCTGTCATCCCAGGCAAAGGCTTCAATTGATGAGATCAAAGGCCAGGGATCATAAGCGATGGAGTGAGGTCGAAGACCTTGATTCTGATGATAGTGACAGTGGGATGGGATGTCAACAGATACAATGAAGGCATGCAATCAAAAGGAGAGGGTGGTGGGTATGAGCAAATGACGAGGGTATTGTGGTCAAAAGGTGATGGAATGGGGATTACATAGGTCTAATAATGCAATCCTCATTACAGCATTTAAGGTAATTTCCTTTATATAATGTAATCCTCATTGCATTACCTTGCACCAACCAAACATTGTGAATGGGGAAAATACATCAGGATTAACTGTAATCTTGATGCTAGGAATCCAACCAAATGAGCCATTATAGTACACCATAATTTAATTTAGAGGTAAAATGTATTTTCTTCAATAATTGTACGTAAAAATTTGTAAACCTAATGATAGACGTACTAAAGATTTTTTTTTCAAAAAAAAACAAAAGCTTCTAAAATTTACCTACTATTAAGGATAAAAAAAAAATCTTATAAAGAAGGATAAAAAAAGCATTTAAATTTATCTTATATTAAAAACCAGAGTAAATATTTCAAATCGGCTAGTTAGAGAATCAACCTAAAAGAATGACCCAGTGATATGTGGAATTTATCATGTTTCATCATATTTGGTCTAGGTTTCATAAAGGTAATCAAACTATCAAAGAATAGGGAAGAGATCGATCAAAAGGCGATTGAAAAAGAAAAATGCAAAGAAAAGGAAAGGAAAGGAAAGGAAGAAATGGTGGTTATTGAAAAAAAAAATTAAATCCTTAAAAGGAAGATTGAAAAGGAAAAATTCAAATCCACAAATCTAGCAAATATGAGAAAATAAATCTCACAAATCCCAAAAAAAAAGAAAAAGAAAACCTAAGATGATTCAACAAGAAAAAAATCAGAATCCAAAAAATACCATATGTGAAAGGGATCTAGAAGTACCGTGCAAATTTAATTGGATTGCTCACATAATTGAGAATCCTCTTTTAAGACTTACCATTAATCCCGATATGATTTCCAAGAGGAAAATAGAAAGTCTAAATGAGATCCTCAAACTTAAATGATTATAACTTTCATTTAGAGAGTTTCGGTTATACATGCATCCAATGAAGGCTCCATCAAATTTATAGCAAGTTATTACATTACATAAAATTTATATAACTCATCAAACTTTTTGCTATGTATAAAAATGCATGTTTAGTTGTATAAATTACAATATATTACATTCTTCATCATTTGAACAATTATAAAATAAAATTTGCAAAAAAAATATGTTGATGATAGTTAAACTTTGTCTTATATTGGTATCGACATTGATAGAATCTCCAATGGTTGGTTGTCTGTTTCTATCTCCTTATGGCTGGGCTTTACTATTGTCAAAGGCAATGCTTTTTCATGGACACCTGATTCCTGGCACATATATAATTAGACTATAATTAGCACTTAAGTATATACTAGGGTGATATATTTCATTCCAATTCTATTAAAGAAGATAGAATGTGCAGATATATATACACATGCAAAATCAAGATTAAAAACATATATATGTTTTGATTATGCAGACGCAAAATAGTGAAAAATCATACGAAGATGATATTACCTGGTAATAAGAAGACCATATTAATTTCTGATGCTTCATCTCATTATCTTCTCTTCTGTAATCAATAGAGGCTCCGTTGTCTTCAGGTGAGCTGAAGGCACCAGCACATCTCACCCCATTGACCTCTACTTGTTTAACAGGTTACGGAGGCCTACCAGAATATCATTGTCGGCGAGACCATGATATCTAACTCCAGCAGCTATTGACTGATGAGATGGTTTTAATGTTTAGAATGTGAGTAAATCTGATTCATAACTTCTTTCTCAGCGCCTTCATGCTTAATTTGGTGACTTAAAACTCATAAGCAAGCCTGCAATAAACAAGAAAGAGCTTTGATATCATTAACAAAAAGTAAGACCAAATCCCAAAGACATATAACATGCAGAGAGATGCTTGTGAACATCTCTGTTGTAGTTATATGCTCCAAGAGATATATATTGAAGGATAAAGCTACACTTGCTTTCATGTCTTGATACCCGTTTCTTAAATAGATTTTTGGGAAGAGTGCTTGGCCATGAAATTAAATATATTGAGTATTGCTCACATTTTTCGTCAAGTTTCACAATCAGAGAACTTGTCTGTTAAGCTTTTTTTCTTGATACAGCGAACTTAAAGCATGACTCTGATACAGGAGGATGAGATTCTTGTGATCTCCAATATGCAGTTACACCCTTCAAGGAAAAAATCATTCAAGCTATACATACTGTTCCTCAATTCAAGCCTATGAATGGCTTGAAGGATGATGAAAGCAATTGAAACTATATATCTTTTATACTATAAGAAGTTTTTTTTCGTCTTCTTTTATTTTCAATTTCAAACAGACCATTGGTTGAGCATTTATGTTATATAGTAATTCTGTATTGAGCCAAAGTAAATGAGTGACCCACCTGATCACAAAATCATTAATTTTCTAGACATTTATGATGAAAGCACAGAGAAAAGAAGGAAATTTTTCTCCTTTAAACTATTCCTTCGATGTACTGACAAGTTTTTTTCCTATATTACAATCAGGCAACCATTAATCTTGAGCTTTCTTCATTTTGGAAAGCACTTAAAGCAAACTTCAAAGGATCAAAAGATGAATCTCCATTATAATTATGCATTAGAGATATGCATGGGTCAGTTACTGAGCCAAGCCAATGACCCACATTGTCATGGGTTCTGAGTTTCGCACCATTCTAAAAGGTGATATTCTAGGAAGAAAAGGGAAGAGATAGTATAAATAGAAGGCAATTGAAGGAAGAGGATGAAGATTAGAAAACAATCAACATGAATAAGATTGAAAAGGGAATATTCAAACCCACAAATCTAGTAGAGAAGAGAAATTAAATCAAACGCCTCCAATGAAATCCAACGAATCCAAAAAAAAAAAAGATATAGCTGGGTATATGGATCGCATCCATTGAACTATCCACAAAAGTCATTTTTTCAAGTTTAGGCTTAGAAAATTAGGGTCTTTTTTTTTTAAAATAAAATTTACGTGAGTTGGGTATAAGGAGCTTACCAGAACTAGGATATGCGTCTCATTTCAATGATCCATAACCCATTAGGTTGCAGGTTTGAACCCCACTATTGATATGAAAACCTTATTAGCAGGCTATTTGTAAGTACTCCTGTCAACACTTTTGAGTCTAAATGCATGCTCTGGTGCTAATGAGCTCCACTTTTTGAATCTAAATGCATGCTCTGGCGCTGGTGATCTCCGAGATCCATGAAGGGATTTTAATGTTTAGAATGTGAGTAAAAATATTGATTATTGAGATCAAACTCATATTCTTCACATCTGCAAAAGTTTATAGTTATAAGGGTGTTGTTCAACTCTAGAACTTTCATTAAACAAGAAGCTCATGTATAGCTAAAAAGAGAAGCTTTGGCATGGGTTGAGAGAAACTAACATATGAAGCTACACTTGTTTGATGTCTTGATGAATTTCACTTCTTAAATAGATTTTCACAATATAGCAGACCAAGCAATTAATTAAATATATTTTGAATATAAAAGCCCATGAACTTTCCAATGCAGTTAACTGCTCAAACAGAGGCAAAATATATATATATATATATATATATAACTAAAGGGGTTAACTGTTCCTCAATGTGACCCTATGAATGGTGTGAAAACTTTCTTTCTTTTTCTTTAATGATTCATGTTTCCTTCAGTTTCAGTTTCAAACAGACTATTTATTGAACATTTATGTTTAACGCTAATTTTCTATTAGATGAAAGTGAATGAATGATCCACGCCGTAAATTTCTGATATTTATTTAGACATTTTTCATGAAAGCAAAAAGCAATAGGTTTTTGAATATTGATCACATTTTTTTGTCAATTTAGACAATTAGAGAACTTGTTTGTTAAGCTTTTCTGTTGATACATAGGAGTTAAAGCATGACCCTAATTAAGAAGAATGAGATTATATTCTTGTCATCACTAATGTGTAGTTACACCCTTCAAGAAAGGAGGAACAAACTTTGTCTTTTCCCTAATTTTGTTTTCTCCGGGGGGAAAAAAGGCTCCTGTGAAAGCTTGAAGTTTACAACTAGAGACGAACAGCAGCTGTTTGATTGTAGAGATGACCAAAGGGAGACACGATTTAAGAACCAATAGCACACAACAAGCGAACAAGATAGAAGGACAACAACGCCAAAGGAAACACAATACATAATATATAAATAATCGCAGAGCAGAGCAACAAGGCAACGATGTAAAATCAAAAGATAACCACATACAAATCAGCCACCAGAAGACAACAATCCTACAAGCGAACAGGCCAACAACGGCGAGCATGATCAGAACAGTGTAAGGGGGAAAACCTGAAGAACGAGCACGAACGATTGGAGATGAAGACGCGAGATCGAAGGAGATGGAGTTGAAGAAGCGATCGAACGAAGGAACCGAGGAGAACGTCAAATCTGAAGAACGGTGACTGGAGCTTTGAACGAAGGAGAACGATGACAAGAGCTTCGAACGACGGAAGGGGAACCGTGAACGAGGCATCATCAAATCAGGACTGAAGCAGCTGAAGGAGAATGGCGAGACTGGACTCTGGAGTTTCGAAGGGGAAGCAGCTGAAGAGGCGATCCAAGGAGACTGTAGAGTGGAGATGGAAATCCAGAAAGAAGTGCGCCGCTGAACTGAAATCTAAACGAAATGAAAAACCTAGGACAAGAATAAATAGAAGATAAAAATAATTAAATATAATAAAAATCTAAAATATATAAATATACCGGTGTTGTTCTTGTATAGCTAATATATAAATAATAAATTATTTTGTATCAAAAATAATAATTTCTTATTTATTAATATTTTAATAATTTTTACCGGTGTTGTTTTTATCAATGATAATTGATAGTCATCCGGCAGTTGATCAAAATGCCATTTTGATATTTTACATGAATAAGAAAAGATGTTAGTGTCCTGAAATTTATTTAAAATTTAAAACCTTTAATTGATGTTAATTTTTTTTTTATGATTCTTCAATGTAATTTTTAGATTCTTTTATCTAATTTTTGGAGAGGCGGGACTACGACTTCATTCTGTGTTGACTGTTGAGGACAGCATGAATGGGCTTCTCAGCGATGATTGCAAAGCCTAAAGAGATCACACCTCAGTTGACGCAGGAGGTTCGGAAGACAGAGTTTGGAGAGTAAAGAGGTGTTTCGTTTCCATGGTAGTTCCTATCCAACCTCTAATTTATTCTCTGAAATCTCCTCTGTTCTTGAACAGGTGCGATTCCTTCACATCTATTCACATCTTTTCATGGGCCTGAATTGGTTTACGTTTAACTTCATTGACGTTTATTGGTGGAAATTTCCCTAGGTTTTGAGTTTATTTTGTTAGATGTTGTGGGTGCTTTGAGAGGCTTTTTAAGGATTGTCTGGGCTTTTAATGTGATTTTTGTTTATGTGGAATTATGTAGCCCCTGCATTGGAAATCAGCTGGGGAGGTGTAATTGCTGATAGTGGTCCAGTTTTTTTATGGATAATTCTATTGCTTCAAGCTTTAGTTAGGAGGATTTTAGAATAGCTGCGGATGGTGTGTGTGTTGGTGTGTGTGTGTGTGTGTGATAATATGCCTACTGTTTCTAATTTTCGTTACAAAATGCGGCAAAGGCTTTGCTCTCTGGGTTAAGAGGGTGCAGTGTGAATGGTTTCGTTGTGTGTGTGTGTGTGTGTGTGTGTGTTTGTGTGTCAGATTGGGGTTTGTTTTGCGACTTTCGACTAGCTTTTGTTGATAGCTGATAATATGCCTGCTGTTTCTAATTTTCTTTACAAAATGCGGCAAAGGCTTTGCTCTCTGGGTTAGGAGGGTGCAGTGTGAATGGTTTCGTTCCTAGTTTTTTAGGCACTCACATTTTTAAATCTAGTGTAGTCTGTTTTAGTTAGGGACACCAATTCAATCAATTTAAATAAGCTTGAAAAGTTTTAGAATGAAATTTAAAAATTTTAAAAAATATTCTCATACTTTCAACGGTTTGACCGCTACTTATTGATCAAAATGCTTAATCCAAGTTGGACCAATTTGGCATTTGAATTGGGTTAACTCGGCCCATTTTAAGAGAATTGAATTTGATTTGAAAACTGATGTGAGTCACCTTGGTTTAAAGCCAAAAAAATTAAAAAAAAGAAGAAGAAAGAAATTTAAATTAAATCGCTCAGATTTGCAATTTTTTTTAAATTTCTAGTTCTCTTTTATCTTCTCTTCTCTCATCTCTAATATCTCCTCTATGACCCAGACTTAATATTTGACATTTCCTCTAGTATCTGCCCCTTCTCTAGCATTCCAACATTTGGTATTAAGATTAAAAGCTCTTGAATTGTGACATGATAGTGCACCTCCAACTCCAATATTTTGCTTCAAAATCGCAAGTTTGTGTCAACATGTTTTTGCCTGTAGCTCTAACAATTCAGGCATTTAACCTTTGATCATAAGATCTCAAATGCCATTATCAAATTAATATTTTATTTATATATTTATATATATAATATTATTTTTACTTAATTTTTATCTTTTTAGTTTGACCATTTATCTAACCAATTAAATCATAAAAACTACAATTCATTGCTCTTTTCTATTCGACATTCAAGCTGGGTTTCAAAATATTACTTTCAACGTACTGTGACGGTCCAGATGAACTCGAATATCTGTTTACTTTTATAAAAACAAAAATAATGAAAAGGTAAGGCTTCAAGGGACCCTTGTTCAAGTTCAGACTTCAGCGGTTCAGCTCCATCAACATGACGCTTCACGCACGTTCTTCTTCTTCTTCTTTTGAGCTCGCATCATAGATTCACAGCCACGTTACCTTCGCTCTTCTTCTCCTTGCTTGGTGAACGCGACCTTCCTTCAAAGTTTGGACTTAATCATTGTTCTTTTTTTTCTTTTTCGCTCGTCAACCTCGGCATCTCCCACTCCTGTTTGCTCGGCAGCGCCTCGACCACGTTTGTTTGCTTCAGCCTTGGATCAGATTAAGAACCCACAAGCTCAGATCAAATTTTAGAGCCAATCACGACTCCATTTCGTCTCGACCTCGTTTGTTCTAGTCACACTAATTCTCATATCGATCTTCATTTCCTCTGCCTTCATTCTTCCTCATCTCCATCGTTGTGAATCTGGGTAGATACTCCTTTTTTTTTTTTTGGTAATGATTTCTTTTGTGAATTACTTTGCATGTGATTTTGTTGTTAAATTAATTTTTTTAAAATGTAAAAAGACTAGCTATCGACTAGAAAAGGACTACACGAGGCGACTAGGGTCTATTGTCCACGCCTTTATCCAGTCACAAAGTTTAATATAATCACTTTGTTGTTAACATGATTATTTTTCATGATTTATCTTGTTTATTTTATAGCATGATGTTGTGTTATATTTTTGAAAAATCTTAATTTTTAAGTTTAAAATTGAAATTAACTCAAAAATAAAAAGTAAACTAAAAAGATTACTAATATTTGAGTAGCATGAAAGTCTGAAATATTAGGGGTTAAGCTTGACTAACTTTATATATATATATACACACATGAGTTCAAAAGTTTTTAGACTGCTCTAAATAACTGTGTCAGAATTGAGCCTCCTTGAATAACTCAGCCCGCCCAGGTTACAAGCTTTAATTTTATTGATTCACATTTGTCCTACTTGGATTTGGTTGCCATTGGAGGAGTTTGTAGTTAATCTTGGAGGATGGCTGAGCTCTTGCGACTTCAAATAGGTCCCAAGACTTTCTATTACCACTACGACTAGTTTGTTGTGCAGTTTCTGAAGGAAAGTGCTATAATGAGTGGGTTTTCTTAACCCCCTTCCCTAATAGTGTCTCTTCTAATGCGTGACCTTTTTTGTTATGTTTCGTTTTGCGTTTTGCCTTGTTTTCGTTTGTACGTTTTCTTTTATTTTATTTTCTTTTTTTCTGGTTTTTGGTTTGTAACTTTGCTGTTGGACCTCTCTGTTTGTTTCAATTTTAGGTGACTTTCTTTGCCAAAAAATTGCCAGAGATATGCGGGATTGATCAAGTTTCCTCATGCTTCGGTCTAGGTTTCATGAGGGTAATCAAAGCACAAGGAAGAGATCTATCAAATAACAAATGAAAAAGAAAACAATAAAAGAAAAGAAAACGAAGGTGATCGTGGGAGAAAAACAAGGGTTCCTAAATTATTTGCTTGGAAACATGTAATATCCTAAATTTATATGTAAAATAATTTTACTTTTTAACATTTAAAAATGGTGCATTAAACATTTTACTATTAAAAAAATAAATTTTATCACTAGTTTATCAAAAAATTATAAAAAAAATTTCAAAAATTACGGAAACAGACTCATAAAATTGAAAATAAGTATTTTATAAAAAAAATTAATATCAATTAAGTCTTTAAAATAATGATTGATCAAAATTGTATTTTAGTTTTTTACGTGGACTAATTTATATATAAATTAGAGGACTTAGTTTATATTAATTTTTATAGTGTATTTACGTGTACTTTTATAGGTATTTTTTGTTTTTTTTGTATTTTTCAAGTCAACAAACTATCAAAATTTAGTTTTCCAATGATAGGATGTCTAATGTACCATTTTTAAATATTCAAAAATATAATTGTACCACATGTAAATTTGAGATAGCAAATATTTCTAAGCAAATAGTTAAGAGGCAAAAATGCTCTTTAATGCTAAAATAGTTAAATGCTAGAAGAGAAGATCCAAAAGGAAAAATTTATATTCACAAATCTAGCAAATCTAGCAAAGATGAATAAATAATAAAAGCTAAAGATCAATTTTCACTAAATATTTTTTTAAAGAATATTGTATACTCTATACTAATAAGTGAGGCAATGTTTTTCTAAACCATTTTTTTAAGAGCAATTTTATCCTTCTATTAAAAAAACCATCAATTATGGTCATGTGAGCCCTATTGACCATCTAACATGGCTATTCTTAAACTTTTTTTTTTTAAAAGCACAGAGCGGCTTGAAGTCTTATTAAATATTATTATTTATAAATCTTCATACAAAATTTACAAGTCATCTATAAATTTTTAAAAAATTAGTTTCAGTTGCTGTTAATATTTAAAAAGAATTTATACATTTTGGATGAATATTTATAATTAAAAATGTTTAATATTTTAACAAAATTTTATTAAAAAATATTTATTAAATTTTATTTTAACAAGATTTTAAAATGATCGACATTCTTGAAAAAGAATTTAAGAGAAAATTAGCACTTTAACCCTACAATAATAAGCCAAGTTAGTTAGTCAATGAGGCCTGCATATCACAATGAAATTAACAGTTCTTTAATGAAAGGATAAAATTGTTTCTAGAAAAAATGGATTCGGGGGAACATTACCTCATTTTTCAGTATAAGGTTACCAGCACACTTCAAAAAAATAAATTAGGAAGAAAAATGGTCATTAACCCAAATGATAACTCTAAGATGACTCAACACAAGAAAAAAAAATAAAAGTACAAAAATATATCATATATGCATCAAGGTATCTAGAAGTGCCCTGTAACCTTAATTGGATTGCTGACACATAATTCATAATCCTCTTTAAGATTTATCATTATCTCAAGGTCAAGATGATTTCCAAAAGCATAATAGAACATCTAAGCGAGCTCCTCAAACTTAAATAATTATAACTTTTATTTTGAGAGTTTTGGTTTTGGGCATTATATTATGCATCCAGTGAAAGCTACGCCATATAAAACTCCACTTCCAATTCCCAAACCTACAAAACTCAATCTGAGTGAACAAGGACGAAGCATTAAGAGGCACGAGAGAGCCAGAGATCCTTCTAGCAACCAACCGTCAGTTTCATGGTTTTTAATGTTTAGAATGGGAGTATAAACACTCATTAATCAGATCATCAAACTTGTATTCTTCACATCTACAAAAGGTTATGCTTATAAGAGTATCGTTCAACTCTAGAACTCATTAAACAAGAAACTTAGACATGACTAAGACGAGAAGCTTTGGCATGGGTTGAGAGAAATTGACAAATGAAGCTAAACTTGTTCATGTATCAATAAATGTTCACTCCTTAAATAGATTTTTAGATCATATCAGGCCAAGAAATTAATTAAATATATTTTGAATATAATTTCTTGACTACTGCAAGCTCATATGGAATGTGTGAATGATGGTAATAAAAGCACAAGAAATTGCAAGTTCTGTTCCCAAAGTAT